CTGGCACTGTTTTTCTAACTGGCAATTTGTACATCTTAATCCCTTCCCCTTTTTCACCCAAACCCCCTCTCATCTGGCAACCATCAAAACGCTCCCGTAGCCCTAGCCAGTTTGGCTCAGTGGTTGGATTGTCAGCCCTTGGACTGAACAGTCCTGGGTTCAATTCCAGCCAAGGGAACGTATCTCAGTTGCAGGCTCGATCCCTGGCCCCGGTCAGGGCAAGTGCAAGAGGCAACCAATCCATGTGTCTCTCTCACATCAATGTTTCTCTCTCTGTCTCTCCCCCTCCCTTCCACTCTGTCTAAAAATCAATGGGAAAAATATCCTTGAGTGAAGATTAAAAGAAAAAAAATGTTGTCTGTTTCTGTTTTGTTCATTTAGTGTTTTAGATTCCACATATAAGTGAAATCTTATGGTATTTGTCTTTCTCTGACTTAATTCATTTAGCATAATGCCCTCTCAGTCCATTCATGTTGTTGCAAATGGTAAGATTCCATTCTTTTTAAAAGTTGAGTAATATTCCATTGTATATATGCACCACATCTTCTTTATCCATTCGTCAATTGATGGACACTTAGGTTGCTTCCATATCTTGGCTATTGTAAATAATGCTTCAGTTAACAGGGATGCATGTGTCTTTTCGAATTAGTGTTTTGGGTTTCTTCCAATAAATACCCAGAAGTAGAATTGCTGGGTCCTTCTTTGCTTTTGTGATGAACTCCTTTATCCTTGTCTGGGAAAATCTAGATATTTTTATCTCAAGAAAGAATGCCCTCCCCCCACCACACACATTTGAAAATGAGTACTAGTAAGCTGGCATCTGATTAGTTTGTAAATAATAAAGTACAGAGGTTCCATCTTCATTCTCTCCTGAGCCTTGTCCTGGGTGTTCTGCAAGGAGATCCAGGGAAAGGATAGGTCTCTACTCGGAGGTGCTTCCAGGCCAGAGGAGACAAAGTGCATATGAGGCCAGAGGTATAGCTGAAAAGCCCTTGACGTGGCCGAGGATAAGTGTGAGGGTTAGGGGCGCAGAGGACTGAGAGGAAGACGGGAGTGTGGAGAAGGGTGTTAAAGGAGGCAGGACGAGTGGGTAGATGTTCTTAGCCATAGGTGGGACCACCTTGTGAAGGTCATACAGTACAGGAGGTGTAACAAGGAGTGCACCTGTCCTGCCTTGACTGAGGGTCTGATGGGTGGTATCTAAAGATATAGTTTGGTGGCAGGATTTAGGGGGAGGGGGAGGGGGCAGGACTGTTGAGAAAGAAAAGATTCCTGCCTTAGCCAGGCTTCCAATGTGATAGGGAAGATAGGTGCCTGGGAAACAACAGAGTCAGAGGGGGGACTCCAGCCATGGGGGTTCAGAGGGATTGAGATGATCAGAGTCAGAATCACAGACGGGCAGAGCTGCAGAGGGCCTTAGAGGTGACTGAATCAGCCACCCTGAGACCAGAGAGAAGCACCCAGTCCAAAGCTCATCGCCTGTAGTTTATCTAATGACAGTAATGACTAATGCTTATTGAACACTTACTGTCTGCCAGGTCCTGTTCTCAACTTTTACAAGTCTTTTGTTTACCGCTCAGAACCACATGGCATAGGGACTATCACTGTTTTATATTCAAGGAAACTGAAGTGCAAAGAGTGAGTTAAATTACTGAGGTTATGCTGTTAGTAAATTGGGGAGCAGAATTCAAATTCAGTTTTCCATAAGCAGAGGGAGAATGAGCAGAGGAGCTTTGACTGCAGACCATGACCCTCCACTGTGTTGACTTTTCCAGGTTGAGGGCAAGAACTCCATTATCCTGACCTTCAGACAGCTGATGGCAGAAGAGGGGCCTTGGGGCCTCATGAAGGGCCTCTCAGCCAGAATCATCTCAGCCACGCCCTCCACCATTGTCATTGTGGTAGGCTACGAGAGCCTCAAGAAACTGAGCCTCAGACCTGAGCTGGTGGACTCGAGACACTGGTAACAGTGTGGGAGAGAAGCCTCTGTTTCCCACACGACTCTGGGTAGGGGACAGAGTAGGGAGACAGCACCCGCTCTAAGTGCCCCTACCACATACCTAGCCCTGCCCTGGGCCAGGTGCCCTGTAGGGGACAGGAACTGAGACTTTGAACTGCTCTTGCTGAAGAGGCTCCACACCTGCATCTCCTGCCCCCATTATTTAGTTTTCCTACCCAACTGGGCTCCCTCACTCTGTCCCTGTACTCCATCCTCCCCTAAGGAACCCACCCTCCCACTAGTCCCACTCTGCCTCCCGTTAAGCCTTCTTCTGGTTTCCCTTTCCATCCGTGTCCCTGAGAGCCTGATAAGAGCTGTACATAGAGCTTGCTTACTGCCACTGGTTCTTCCACTTGGGCCGTCAGCCCAGATTCCAAGCAGTTTGCCATCAGCCTTTTCCTGCTTCGTCTCTTAGGCTTATTTTTATTTTGGGACTGATTTGCCCACCAGACTACTCTGCTTTTTCCTGCCACTGGGGGCAAGGTGCCAGGCACTTTTGCACAGGGAGTAGGCACAGCAAAAGCTTCAGAGTGCTCATCCTCTCTTCGGAGTTATTAGATGGGGAGAAATGTTAATACTTTATTTTGTGTGTTTATATTGTTTTAACATCTGTGAACCAGGTTACTGTCTTTGTCCTGCTAAAGCACCTGTCCAATCCTGCAGTCAGAGCCCACCCTTTCCTCAGAAAAATACAATGTAGCTTTTCCTTCAATCTCAGTTCCCTATCCCTTCCATGTCCCTGCAGTCCCAGGACTTACAAGCTGCTGGCTTCCCCTGGCCCAGACGACTACAGTGGTAGGCACAATTCTAAGTAGATCAGGCTGCCCGGGGCACACGGGACTCGGAGCACTACCCTGAAAAGTCAGATTGAGAGAGTAGCTGGCTTGGATAGGCCAAGAGGGGATGCGTGCCCCAGCCCATCTCCCAGACCAGCTGAGCCAGGCCTAGGAGAGGGCAGTTGTAATACATCTATATCCCAATCACTTGGACTCACGGAAACGGATGTTGTCTCAGTCTCTGATACGTGGAACTGTTTGTGTTTTCTTCTCCCCAATGTGAAGTCATCCCAGTCATGGTACCCTCTCGTGTAGCGGTCGCCAACCAGTGGTCCTCGGATCACTGCTGGTCCGTGAGGTCTGTGAGGTCCGAAAGGTTGGCGACTGCTGCTCGAGAGGGATGCTTGGAAGAGAGCGGGTCAGGAAGTCGCCCAATACCAGGACCACTACACACCAGCCTGATACTGCCGAGATTACCTGTTGATGCTCTCAGGAGCTAAGTGAGGAGCGTTCCTTCCCTGCCTCATCCTACCGTGTCTACCAAGCCTGTGTTGCAGGTGAGAGAGGTGCAGCAAAAAGGATGAGAAGGAGGCATATCAAACCCTGCACTTGTACTTGAGACATTTGGCCAGGGTGATCCTTCAAACCTTCTTATTGGTCCCACCCCCTGGGAAGGGCCATGGTGCCAATGGAAAGGTGCTAGCTACCTTTTGAAGCCTTGCTGTTTCTTACAGCTGCCCCACATTCTATCGCCCTGGCCAGATCAGAATCTGAAAGACACATTTTCCTACCTTCACCACTGACACTGCCCATCTTGGTCTTTTATCTTTGAGGGTTATTTTCCCTTATTTTGGTTTGCTTTTTCTTGCACTTTGTCAAGATTCCTTCCCACCCACAAACGGTCATCCAAAGGGTTAGGCCCACAGATCATTCTGAATCTTCCTGCCCCTGTCACCCCTTTACCTTAAGAACCACTAACATAACAGAAGCCAGCCTTCTTTCTCTGTCTTTTGTTCCATTGATTTTTAAAAAATATATATTTTATTGATTTTTTACAGAGAGGAAGAGAGAGGGATAGAGAGTTAGAAACATCGATCAGCTGCCTCCCGCACACACCCCCCCCTCCCCCCATGGGGATGTGACCGAAACCAAGGTACATGCCCTTGACTGGAATTGAACCTGGGACCTTTCAGTCCGCAGGCCGACGCTCTATCCACTGAGCCAAACCGGTCAGGGCCATTGATTTTTTTTTTTTAGAGTGGAAGGGTGGGGAGGGGGGAGAGAGAGAAACATTGATGAGACATCAGTTGGTTGCCTCCCGCACCCACCCCAACAGGGGCAGAGATTGAACCTGCAACCCAGGTACCTGTCCTTGACCGTGTCCTTGACGGGAACAAACTCCAGACCCTCTGGTGCACAGGCCAACACTAACCACTGAGCACGCCAGCCAGGGCAGCCTTCTCTCTGTCAACTCACGCTAGTGACCGTTTTGGAGATTGTTTTTCAGCCCACACCTTCCCCTCCCTAGAAGCTTGTCCCCACTGCGCAGAGTGGGTGAAGTATCACGGACAGGGGCCGTCTCCTGCCTCACGCCTTAGGATGGTTCTCCTTCCCAGACTCCTTTCCTTCTGATTTATTTTATGGTACAGTATTTCATAGCCATTTGCCCATATTCTCATTCTCTCTCTCCCTCTCTCTCTCTCTCTCTCTCTCTCTCTCTCACACACACACACACACACACACACACACACGTTTCAAAGGATGATGAGTTTTTTTGTTTGTTTTTAGTGAAAGGAACCCCTGCCCCCTACTTCCCTATCTAATTGGGTTCGAATAAAACTTGTCTTGGTGGGACTGGGACAGTGGGCTTCCGTTTTCCCAGGACCATGGAGCGGACCAGCTGGCAGTTCTCATGTGCCGGTCCAGAGCCCAAACTGGAAGAAACTTCGGAGGCCAGGCAGACGGGAAAGCTGGTGGGAAAGCTGATGGTCTATCGAGGGACCGGGGAATGAAATAGACGCGGTTAACATTTGATAAAGTGGACGCTTGTGAATACTAACTGCGAACACTCATTCACTGTTGCACTGTACGAAGTCTTTGAAGTGTAATTAAAAGTTTGTATTGAGCCCTGAGCTTTTGGCTGGCGCTTGTTTTGCCGGCCTGTGGATTAAGTACTAAAGTGCACTACACGCTACTCACCTGTGCACAAGCCGCGTCCTCCAGCGGTTTCCCCTCCCCCGTGGGCGACTCGGTGACGGACATTCCGCTGCTTCCAATCGGACGCGCCCAATGCCGGGAGCGGCCAATCGGGGGCTCCGGTGGGCGGGACATCCTGGCCAGTTAGATTTGGCGGTTCCATTTTAAGATGGCCGAAGCAAGCAACGCCAGTGTTGGCAGCGGCTGTGAGGAAAAAGGGCGGGAGGGGTCGTCCCCCGAACCCGTGTCCCCTGACACTACCATTTCGAGGATGAAGCTTCTCGACACCACAGTGGATACTTTCCTCCAGAAGCTGGTCGCCGCTGGGAGGTAAGGTGAAGGAAGTGGGGTGAGGCAAAGAGGAGCGTGTTTGGGCCGCCAGAATGTGAATCCCGCGAGACCAGCTCGGGCAAAGGCAAACGGCAGTCACGTGGGCCCCGGGTGGGAGGTGTGTGGACCGGCGGTCCGAGCGGGCGGTGGCTCCGCGCTGTGTGCCGACTTGGAGCGACTGGTTCCCGCGTCCTCCAGCCAGGCTGGTTTGGACCAAAACTTCAGGTGGCGGAGGGGAAAGATACCGGCTCCGGAACTAGAACCAAGACCTGACCGCTCTGTGCCTCCGTCTCTCATCAGTGAAATGGCAACAGTAGGACCTTTCTCAGCTGGTAGTTTGGAGAATTAAGTACACGAAAGGCGCTTAGATATTGCCTGCCACATATACAGCATTAGAATTGTATTATCATAGGAATAATAATACCTTCACTGGGTGGTTGTGTATTGCCATAGAAACATTTTTTCCTGTCTGATTTTTATTTTCCACGAACAGTACTGTAACGTTATTGGACACTGAGGAGTTTTGCCCGGGATCCCACCACTCAGCATGTTGATGAAACACTGTTATTACTGGAGGCGGTTCGATAAAGCCCGCTCTCTCTCCGGCCCTGAGTCCCCACACCTGTGCTCTGGCCCCGGCAGGTGTGATGCAGTCGCTTGGGCGGCCGCCCCTGCAGGGAAGGGCTTGTGGGTTTGATTCCCGGTGAGGATGGGCAGGAGGCAGCGGATCTAACCCTAACCCTTTCCCTTTCTCTCTCAAAATCAATTTTAAAATCTTAAAAAAAAAGAAAAAGAAAAAAAGAATGAAGGCCACATTCAGACATGTGTGGTTACCATTGACTTTAATGGGAACAGCCTGTTTCTGGGATTTAGGCTATGAAATCGGTGGGGAAAGTGTGAAATGGAAAAACAGGAAATAAAAGGCTCCATTGGGCATCGTGTTCAAAGACTCCAAAATGCTGTGTGTCATTAGGGGGTGAGTTTAAATTCACATTTTGCTAATGAAGACCATTGTCATCTCTCAAAGAATGACTTAATCCTGCTACCCTGCCATTACCAACGATTCATTCTTTTTTAAAAAAAAAAAATATTTTTTTATATTTAAAAATGTAAGTATATTTTTAAGAGGAAAGTTAGAAATTACAGAAATGGCTGGAAAGACTCACCTCCATTTTGTGAACACACACACACACACACACACACACACACACACACACACACACACCGGGACACTTGGGATGGGGGGAAAGGAACACACGAGCTAGGCTGGTTAGGGGAGCCCGCTCTGAGGAAGTGACATTAAACGGAAACTTGAACAGTGAGAGAGAACTAGAGAAAGTGCATAGGCAAAGGGTAGAGCTTGTGCAAAGGCCCCAAGGTGGTCCGGGCATTCTGGGAACTGGCAGAGGCCTGCTTGGCTACAAAAGGGTAGAGCTTGTGCAAAGGCCCCAAGATGGTCAGGGCATTCTGGGAACTGGCAGAGGCCTGCTTGGCTACAACATCATGATCAGAGGGAGATTAAAATCAGGAGGCTGGCTGGACAGACAGGTGACATCCTTATCATCTAGGGTCTAATTTCAGTAGTATTGAATTTGATAAAATAATTGTTATTTTTATGGGCCATTTATGACACACCATTATATGTGCAGGCAAGATTCCTCCTTTGATTGATTGATTTTTCCCTACTCATTTTTGTCCTCTCCCCTCCCCATAGGCCCTGCTTTCTTTTCTCTTGCCTGTATGCCCTCCATTTATTCATTTATTCATGTACAAATATTTATCAGGGAGGTACAATGTCCCAGGCTCTGTTCTAGAAGCTGGAGATGTAACAGTGATCAAGACAGAACAGTTGTTGCTCTCATGGAGTAGACATTCTAGTGCCATAAAGAAAAATAATCAGGATAAAGGAATAGAAGTGGGGAAAGAGGTCTGTGTTAGTGTGAGTGCAGTGAAGTGACATTTGATTGTTTGTTTTCTTGTACAATATGTTGTTTTGTTTGTATGAATGATAATTGTGCTACATACCTTTTTTCACTTAACACCTTTTTTTCACTGTGCAAGGTTTATTTGGTGTTTTATTTATTTGAAAATATATTTCTTTATTGATTTCAGAGAGGAAGGGAGGAGAGATAGAAACATCAATGATGAGAGAGAATCATTGATTGGCTGCCTCCTGCACACTCCCTACTGGGGATCGAGCCCGCAACCCAGGCATGTGTCCTTGGCTAGAATTGAACCTGGGACCCTTCAGTCCGCAGGCTGACGCTTTATCCACTGAGCCAAGCCAGCTAGGGCTATTTGGTGTTTTAGTTGGTGTGAACTTGCATAGTTGGCTGCATTCATTTGTAGACTCTCTTTATATTAAATGGCAGTGTACACTATTCTGATACGTATAATACACAAAATAATATCTTTTAGAATTATTATGCACAAGACATGCAGTACTGGATTTATTATACATTGGATCCCAGGATGTGTTTGATTAGAGAAAAAAAGTTGGAGTAGGCATGTTGGGTAAAAGGAACCACAAATTATATAACACATAGTAAACACACATCTAATTTGAAGGGCACTGTGGGGTCAACACCATTTAAAAAATTATTTATTTAAAAATATATTGTTGAAAGTATTACATATGTCCCCCTTTTTCCCCTATTGGCCCTCTCCAGCCTGCCCCTGCCCCCCACCCCAGGCCTTCACCACTCTGTTATCTGTGTCCATGGGTTGTGCATATATGCATACAAGGTCTTTGGTTGATTACTCCCCACTCACCCACCCTTCCCCCGCCTTCCCTCCCAGATTCCACACTCTGTTCCATGCCTCTGGATCCACTCTGTTCATCAGTTATTTTGTTAATTAGATTCCACATATGAGTGAGATCATGTGATACTTGTCTTTCTCTGACTGACTTATTTCACTTAGCCTGATACTCTCCAGATCCCTCCATGCTGTCTCAAAGAGTAAGAGATTCTTCTTTTTTACTGTTGCATAGTTTTCCATGGTATAAATGTACTATAGCTTTTTTATCCACTTGTGTACTGATGGGCACTTGGGTTGTTTCCAGATCTTAGCTATTGTAAATTGTGCTGCATGAACATAGGGGTGCATACATTCTTTCTGATGGTGTTTTGGGTTTCTTAGGATACAGTCCTAGAAGTGGGATCACTGGGTCAAATGGCAGTTCCATATTTAATTTTTTCAGGAAGCTCCATACTGTTTTCCATAATGGCTACACCAATCTCCATTCCCACCAGCAGTCAACACCATTTTTTAAAATGATCTAACCATGTCCTGTAAGTGCATATGGTTCAGAGCTTTTCAGCACTGCTTGTCATTCCATGATAAGCATCCAGTTCTTATTTGTTGCCTATTATGGACACTTTGCCTCGAACTCCTGCCTCCACAAATTGTACCCGGGTGAATGTCCTTGTACATCCCCTCATGGAGCAGTGCTAGCATTTCTGAGGTCTATAATGGAGGGGAATCACTGGGGCGAAGGATTTACACCCACCTGTGTTTTGTCAAATTGCTTTCCAGAAATGTTGTTCCCATCTCCTACATCCTCACCATCACTGGGTATCCACCATTCTAACATTTGCTATTCTGAAACTGTGAAAGAGATATTTTATTATGTTTGAATTTGCATGTCATTGATTTCCTCATAGGTTTGGGCCTTTCCTCATATAATTGTTAGTCATTTTGGCTTCTCTTCTGCGAACTGCTTTTTTATTTTTCCAGAACCCTTTTTTTTTTTTAATTGGGGGTTTTTATCTTGTTTTTCTGGAGTTCCTGGTATAATATAGAAATCAATCTCTTGCCCTGGCCGGTTTGACTCAGTGGATAGAGCATCAACCTGGGAACTAAAGGGTCCGGGTTCAATTCTGGTCAAGGGCACTCAGTTGCAGGCTCCTCCCCAGCCCGGCCGTGGTCAGGGCACGTGCAGGAGACAACCAATCCATGTGTTTCTCTCTGTCTTTCCCTCTCCCACTGTCTTCTAAAAATGAATGAAAAAATATTCTTCGGTGAGGATTAAAAAAAAAAATCAATCTCTTGTCAGTTTTAAACTGAAGAAGGAAATATTTTTTCTGTCTGTTAGGTACTAACTTTGTAATGTCCTTTGAGGAATAGAAATCTTTAATCAACTAAAAAGCCCCACAGATTATAGTTTGTACTTTATCCAGGAGGATGAAGCAGAAAGAGAAATGCAGTAATCCCGGGTGACCCCTCACAAGCTGTATGGATCCTCATGACTCCTTTCTCAGCCTCCAGACTAACTCAGCATCCCTCAAACAGTCATAAGAAATTAAGTTTCGATTAATCTGTTTTTTAAACCCTTAATTTTCATGTGATTACATTTCTCCTCTTATGGTTTTGTGCTTTTGGAGTCTTGTTTAGAGGTTATACTCACACCTAGGTCACAAAGATAATCTCCAATGTTTTCTTCTGTTACCCATCTTATCATTTTACGCTCTACTTAAAATCTTTCATCTGTCTGGATTAAGGTGTAGGGTGGTGGTCTCAGCCAGTCTTGTTTTTCTAGTTTTCCCAATCATTGTCAACTGAACAGTTTATCCGTCCCCATTGCTCTATGGAGCTCCCTCTGTCATATGGCAAGTCCCTCTGCCTAATGTGCTCCTGGGTCTCTTCCGCACCACTGAGCTACTCACTGCTTATCATGGTGCCTGTCACAGACACTCAATAGTTTTGGAATAAATGAAGATTCCCAAGTCATCTCTCTCCTGAGCTTCAGATCTCTGTCTCCAATAGTTTAATACTAGAAACCTCCACATGGTGTCCTACAGAACCAATCAAGCTCAGTGCGATGGAAGCAGGATTTGTCCTCCCTCTGTCGCCCCTAACTTAGTTGAAAATACCACCGTCTACCCATTCTCTAGGCCAGAAGTTTGGGAGTTCTCATTGACCTCCTTCCTTTTCACTTCCAGTCAACCACGAAGCCCTATTGGTTCCAGCCTCGCTCCTCAATCTCCTTTCCATCCTTG